GACATAGATAGATAGATTGTACACCACGAGTCCGTAGAAATTCAAAAATGAAATTGAACAATGAAACGCGATAATGCTCTATAATAGCATTACAATATTAGTGAGAAATATTCAGAATTCATCGACATGACATGTGGAGCGATGTTTCTATCACATGAGAACAAGGTTCTGGGTAGACTGCCGAGGTCGAATCACGACTCAATTTAGAAATAAGAATGGATTTCTGGGCAACTGCAGGAATTCTTCTATTGTGAGTTCCATTATAGGTTAAATTGGTTCATGTCTCAATAATGTAATTATTTCACTTTTAAAAATCTGTAGTTGATACATCTAATGGGGTTTCTGCCCAGTGGTGTTTGAAGATGTTATGGCCCATCGCAATACAGAATTATTTTATGAATAAATCATACAGCAAATGTCCACTATTCCCTAATCAAGTCTTGATTCTTTAAACTCGGTCACACGCAACCGGTGTCTTTATCAATGTTAAATTGAGACTTGGCTCGTAACAGTTCGCAGAGGAAGCAAGTAAGTAAATAAAATCCACATGTATGTAGTTTGACGGCTACCTCAAATGTTATGGTGTGTACGCTTTGGCAGATACTGATGACAGTAAATTTCTTAAAATCAGTATCACCCCTCAGAGTGTAATAATTTCTTTATTGACCATTATTTCGTAATCCCTTGAGCTCCCTTCAGGTAAATGTACTGATCACGATCACCGACTTAGAAAACCACAATTGTCGAATGACGTCAACAATTTTCAGATATGATGTCGTTTCTAGTGTGACGTCATTTCGACCTTACGTAACAATACGATTCGAATAACGTCAACAATACACTTGTGCGCGTCAAGTGATATATGCACAAATGCGCATACGATTTTTATGAACTCGGTTATTTCTAACCCTGTGCGTAGACTAAGCCTGGAGACGGGCACCAGCTCATGGTTCTTCGTCCCTCGTCAACTACACGGTCACATTAATCTTGCATTTATCAGAGTGCACCTATATCTCAAAACACGGACAACTAGCTGTTTCGAGTAACCATGCATGTTCGAAAAAAGGGCCACGCAAAGCAGTGATACAAGCCTAGCGATATTGGGAATGTAGATTTTACATGCGCTTCCAGTTAATGCTAATTTCGCACTCGTGTAATGCAAGCTGGTTGGTTGTTGGTTGGTTTGTTGTTTAACGCTGCACTCAGCAATATTCCAGCTATATGACGGCGGTCTGTAAATAATCGAGTCTGGACCAGACAATCCAGTGATTGATATCATGAGCATCGATCCACGTAATTGGGATCGATGACATGCATCAACCAAGTCAGCGAGCCTGACCACCCGATCCCGTTTGTCGCCTTTTACGACAAGCATAGTCGCCTTTTACGGCAAGCATGGGTTGCTGAAGACCTATTCTAACCCGGATCTTCACGGGTCGTCATGTAAGTACTATTGGGATAAACATTAAGACTTTGAAATGAAAATATTTTAAAACAAATTATTTTCGTTTTATTGTCTTTCAATATTTAATATAAAGGCGTTCAGAGATTCTCTTCATTTTCTGAAACTGACGAAATTTAAATTTGCCAAAGTATTGTAGACTTGCTTTGGAATCAAACAACCCAGTGATTCACGTCATGATCATCGATCCACACAATTTGATCCAATGACATGCCATCAACAAAGTCACCGAACCACCTCATTTATTTAGTCGCCTCTTGCGGCAAACATGGGTTGCTGAGGACCAATATTCTTATCCGGATTCCGGGGGTTTACGTAGGATGTTACTGTCCAGCTTATCATTGTCCAAGGCAATCACCGTGGAGGTAAACATCTGTATCGGATCAACCCAGTTTAACACCTGCCCTTCGGTACACGCTGCCCAGTTGCCCCTTACCAAGTGACGCAACCAGATAACACACTGCACGGATGTTATGTCAACTTGTATAGCGGTAGGCTATCAAAGTGTCGCGTATCGCACTCATAATAAAGATAGACATTATATACATTAAAGAGAATAATGCTCTGGCTTGCAGGCTAGAATTGCACGCATGTACCAATTATAAACAACTGGTGGTATCAAAAAGGAGTATGCAGTTAAAGTAATGTACAAGATTGAAGAGAATAATTACCATGGTATTCCATACGGAATGCAGCATGCATGCATTTTTAACGCCGCTTTTATTGCTTTCTTGATTTACCCCTTCATCAGGTGGGCGTGGCGGGGTAGCTTAAAATCGGTAAATCGACGTTTGAATTTTTGCTGCTACCACTAAGATCTGGAACCGCGTTGGGGCTGGGCCTGGAGCTGGGGCTGGGGCTGGGGTTAATTGTTGTTAGAGACAACAATTCTATCACTGCTTCAAGACATTCTTCTTTCAACCCACTCATTTTATCAGGACCTTCAGTGAACAATTATTTGTATTGTATTTGTATAAATTTACAAAATGGTCGCAGGCAGGTTGACAACATTATGTACGAAGTATTCTACACGACAGGGTAGAGTGGGACCAGAGGCTGTTCTCCCTGTAACCAGTGCAATGTGTTAAAGCCTCGAAACTGAAGCAATATAGCTACAACCGTTACATTGTATAGGACAGATGGTAGATAATAGCTGCCAAAAACAAATGGTAAACCTCGTTATATGAAGCGTATATATAGCATATGATAATATTTCCGAGTCCCATGATAGGATTCGAACCACTGGCCTTCTAAAGGATGACTCCACGCCCTGTGTAACACACGCACAAACTGTTTACATTAAAATATCATGTCAAGTTAACCGAAAACAATCGTTATTTCGATGAATTTGAAATAAAATGTCTTGTTGAATTAGGTTTGTTATTGGGCCACGTGTATTTCATACCTGAAACGGTCGTCGTGGTTGATATGTTTGTTGTTTTACGCCGCACTCAGCAATATCCAAGCTATATGGCGGCCTGGGCTCCGTTCCACAACGCAATCGTAGAACTATCCGGGTCAAAATGGGTTATACGGGGCGACTAAGATGCCGACCATTTGATGTTCTCGGGGGCCTGGGATTGTATCGGGGAAAACAATTGTCACAGAAATGTTTTGTTTCATATCGCTGGAAAAAAAGAGAAATTATCTGCCACAAACATTACGCTGTTGCAGTGTGCTTTCTAGAGAGAAAAATGTTTTAGCCCATAGTTTGAATAAAATAAATATCTACTGTAGCAGCTGTAGCTGAACAAAATGTCAGGTTTTAATACCAAATACCAGAATATCAAACGGTCGGTCCCTAAATGGATCGGGTGGTCAGGCTCGATGAGTTGGTTGTTTGGGTGTCATCGTACCGACGTTGTGGATCCTTGCTCAATATTTCAATCACTGGATTGCCTGGTCCAGACTTGATCATTTACAGGCGGCCATCATATAGATGGAATAAAAACCTGAGCTTGTTGAAGAGCCCTGGAACGTCCACAATATGGCTGAAATATTGCCGAGGCATGTGACGTTAAACTTTAACACACTCACTCCTACATCAGGTCATCTGGGTCGATCTGCTGGTCTACAAAGCAATCACATTCCGGTCAGGTGGGGAGATACTAGCTCGGCATTAATTTCTTATATTTCGTTATTTGTACAATTTTCTTTGCGTGATTGTACTAGGTTATCATGAAACATTTGGTTTTCCCATCTGCGGTAACATGTAATTGTACCCTTTTACATTTCTCCAACGCTGAGAGAAAGGCCACTGAAAGATAAATATACCGAGAGAAAGAGCTTATTCAAAGGAAACCATTCTACAGACACAACACCCCACTGTTGTACGACTGTTAAGAGACATCTCTGGAATGGAACCATCGTCCAAGTGACGCGGTCCGTGTTGTATAACACCCCATGCATGCATTATAGCTCTTCTGTCTATGGAGAAAACATTCACTGCCTACAGAGTGGCACGTGCTGAAATCGACTTGTGACTGATGTAACGACCACCGAGACCTGAGATAAACAGTCATGGCGTGATAGTTCTGGTCTGTCGGTCATCACTTCAGACGGAAGACATGTTTTATACCATTCCGATCGGGAAATATTCATATCAACTGGCAAGCTTCCGGTCAATCAAGTATTCCTTAAATGTTAGTCGCCGATTGCTAAAGAGCCACATTTGATCAATGGCGCCCATTTCGTTTTAATTCCTCATTTGTTTTTACTATCTTGCATCTTTTGGTTTAATCATGTGGAATTGAAACCCGGATATTTTTAAACCGCGATGGCAAGTTAATCAAACAGTAATCCAGAAGTGTTTTTTGTCGTGTGATACTGTGGAAGCATCTGCTTGATAGGTTAAGGCAGGCTGCACTATGTAATATCAAAAGTAGGCAACAGAGGAAGGTAGTAAAACAAGCCCAGGGTCGCAGGAAATACAGAAATACCATGCTGGCAGTGTATATATGTGGTATGTCTCTACATACATTGTTAGGGCAAGATGGTTGAGCTGTGATTTGTAGTAAAACTATGGGAACCCAAAGTCTTGTTAGACCATCTGTGTGCCGTTGGTTCCGATATGGTTCATTGGATTTTTGTGGCGAGATAATATGCCTGTAGCAGGGACACGGTCACCAGAAGGAGTGGATGTATTTCTGGTTCAAGGCGCTCAACCATGTTAAAAGCAAGTGGGAATCTTGATTGCTGCATAACTTGGATTAAAGGACGACTCAGTAGTTTGAACACTCGCACGTAACGTTTGATTCATGAGGCAAATGTTTTGATTGAATTGAAATCATTGGTTGGGACACCATCGGTAGTTTGGGTTGGAATTAAAAGCATATTTATCTGTAATGTGATCAAATGACAAATTAATATACAATGACCGTTCTCAATGGTTAAATTGATTATGGAGCGAACAGCGACTACAGAAGTCAACAAGTGTTCAGCGTTACCCTTCTAATGCACCATAGGAATCGCAGCAATACATGTGAAGCAGATTGTCCGCAATGCCTGAATGAGGCCCGACAATGGTGGTAAAGGTACCACTTGAGTTGTGGGAGTTATGATTTTTAAAGAGGCGTGAGTATCGCATGTCAGGCATGAAGATGGTTGGATTGTTGTTGCGAACTTAGTGTGTGTTGCCGCAAACTCGCTATAAGTGGCGCGATTCCTGGACAGCTGCAAGTGACAGTGAACGATAGACGTGCGAGTCACTTCAAGAGGCACGAGCTGTGGCGCGTGCGTTCATACAGCGCGTGCTTGTGAGTATCGTCTGCTTCTTGACGGAGTGATAGCGTCCCTATCAACAAGCTTCGCGATGTTAGGTAAGTAACTTAGCATCATTCCTCTCACAGAATGACTACTGCAGGGATTCATACATGGCTTGTTCCTACTGTCAAGAATTTATTTTCACATTTTTCTATTACACACTTCACATTTTTTAAAGATCTTGTATTAAATGTCACACATGCCGCGCTCATCAGAATTAGACGATGGAAAAATTGATGATTTGGGAATAGGAAATTTATATTTGTTTCGATTTTTTGCCATCTAGCATGCAAAGGCTAGCAGCGTGACGATTGCTCCCAAGAAGTGGGATTAAAAGAATTGATTTTGCGGATGTGAGTTTTGTTGGGGTGAACATATTTCACCCCCAGGGTTCATTGTAATGAATCTGTCGTCTGCTATATGATCACGTGCATCCCCCTTCACTTATCACGATTCCACGTGCTTGATATGTTTCCAAACGCTCGATATTGTCATCAATACTGGCAGTTTAATTACTTCCAACATTTTTTTTATACATCAGTATTTCCCCCATCCTCATTTTCGGTATGTTTTTTTCTGTTTCTCCAACATGTGTAGGTTAGCTTCGAGGGGATCTGAAATGGTGACATACCAAAACACTGAAGCGTGATGTTGATTTATAGACCCTCATGTCTTGCAACAAATTTTAACGCCATTTGGCCTCTGAATGTTTTATTGAAGAGCACTTCATACTTGAGGGTCTCTTTGGCACCTCTGGGGCTGAACTAAACAAACATGGCAGCATTGCGTGGCCAGTTCAGACCTGCCACACTGGTGTTAGCATAACAAAACACAGCCACTGTTACTTCCACAGTGTCAATAAATTGATGTTTAATTGTTAAACATGTGATTGCTAAAAGCATTTCCTGTACTGGAGGCAAAAACTATTACGCAAATGTGGCCAATGGGACTTTAATTTAGTTAGATTTGAGTGGTTTCTGTACTGTAAGACATGCCACCACAAAAAAACAACCAAAAAACAAACTTGGGACAGTTTTAATTTTAATCAGTAATGGGTAGCAGCAATAGACTGCTGACAGTATTGTAAATTGTTTCCCGGCCTGGTGACACTCTGTAGCCTTGGTACTTCATAGACTTGGTGACGCATTTAAAACAAGACAAGCTACCAATAAAACATAAATCATAAATCTATAAACACACACAACCTCACAAACTCCTTCAGTTCCCCACATTTTTGTTATGGCGTATTTCAAAATTACAAATTTCCACCAAAATTAATTAAGCAGCCATAAAGCCCCTCCTGGTTGCTTCACCTTCCGGACATGCCCTTCTCGGCCACATCACTAAATGGCATGGCGGCCGTGCGCGAAATATGCATATGTCGGAAATTGCACATTGAAACCCAAAGTGAAATAAAGTTTTGTATAAAGTTAATTTGTAATTCTACGAGAAAACCCATAAGTATTAAAAGTACCCTCAAGTGTGATAATTTCAGGAGCTAGAGTTGAAAGGGATGAATGAGTATAGCCTGCTGTAGCTGAGAGGGGTGCAATGGGTCGAATGTTCTATTATATGTCCTGGTTCTGTTTGAGTGAGTGAGTGAGTTTAAAGCTGCTTTTAACAGTATTCCAGTTATACCGTGGCGTCAGGTGAATGTGGGAGGAAAGCCTGAAGTGAAGCGTGTCTTAAACGTTTACCACTTTGGTGAAACATCCCAGCACGGGTGTGCTGATGACAAACCTAGAAAAATAATTGGGGTGAACTGGGATTTAATTAGAACCCTTAGATGACTTGGGTATAAGAGACTAAGGGGCACATATGTGGCCCAGTAGTGTATTTGTGACAGCACGATGTTCATACATATTCCTTATCTGCAAGGATCAACTTTCATGGGTTTGAATCCAGGAATTTACCCTGGTCTATATATTTGTGAGTCCTGGGGAGTCTTGGTATTAAAACATCAACATCATAACCACTCTCTATTACTCTCAGAAACAGATTCATACTTTTTGCCGTCCCAGGTATTAAAATGGATGTCCCAGGGTGACCACTTATTCAACAGCAATGAAGTAAAGTAACCAGTATGCCTTTCATTTTATAAAAAAAGGATTTCCTTTTCTGTATCAAAACTTGGAGTAAAGGAAAATCTTAAATGGACTCTCCAAAAGAAATATCAGATAAATCTAACCAACATTTTCAATTTAGTTTCAATCATTTCAGCATCCATACTCTTTTGCTTCCAATGACTGGCTGGATAATATTCTTAAGTTTTAAACATATATGATGCTATATTTTAAAACAGGTAAAAACCCTGGTTTAAATCCCCTTGTGTGAGTGAGTGAGTGAGTGAGTTGGGTTTAACGCCGCTATTAACAGTATTCCAGTTATATCACGGCGTGTCAGCTTAATGTGGGAGGAAAGCCCCAGGTGTGATGATCACCCTTGGCCTATCAGCATCCCCATGCTTGTGGGAGAAAGAGGTGGGGCTGGTTGGACTCCAAACATTTTTTCTGTCTTTTCTGCAAGACAAACCTTTTCGTCTTTCTGGAAGGAGACAAACATGTTAGACCAACAGCACCCACCATTTTCATAGAAAATCCTGTTAAAGAGTTTTCTGTTGTAAAATTAGTATAAAAACATCTCATCCTGAAACGAAAGGGTCAGTCAAACTATCTATAGCTCCACTTTTACTATCATACCTCATAACTTGGGGAAATTCTGGGTAAACATATAGGCCCCAGCAACCTATGCTGGCCGTTTGAGGTGACTAAATGGATCAGGTGGTCACATTGGGTGAGGGGCGTTCGGGTAGCCTAGTGGTTAAAGCATTCGCTCGTCATGCCGAAAACCCGGGTTCGATTCCCGACATGGGTACAATGTGTGAAGCCCATTTCTGGTGTCCCCCGCTGTGATATTGCTGGAATATTGCTAAAAGCGGCGTTAAACCATACTCACTCACTCACTCACATTGGGTGACTGACAATTGTATCGTATCCCAATTGCATGGATCGGTGCTCATGATGTCAATCACTGGATTATATGGTCCAGACTTTATTATTTACAGACCACCATCATACAGCAGGAATATTGCTGAGTGCAGCGTTAAATAAACAATTTTTATCTAATGGTAGCAGCCCATGACTAAAGTCCTTTACTTCGCCAGTTTTGTGTTGGACCAGCTTTCTTCTTGCTCTGCGTTGGCTACTAAAAACAAATATTTGTCGAACCCTGTGGTAAAGATTGTCAACATTGTATACTAACAGGAAGACAATATGATGTAAATTCCCTGCTGCTTTGAAAGTGAGCTGATAAGGACTCCATTATCAGGCAGTTCTACAGAGAAACAGGGTTAGGACACAAAACCCATGTGTTATCAGAACCAGGTTTTTGCCTTGCACCATAGCCTGTTGTAGGGAAACGGTACGTATGATTAATGGCAAAATCTCCATCTCACCTGCTGGTGTCTCCACACTGGTGAAAATCTTGCAAGATATGCGAATTTTTCACCAGTCTTGACATTTCTCGAGTTATTTCCAGTGTTGCTAAGTGATCCAATTTGACAATCTGATGTGAATGTTGCTTTTTCTTCATGTTTTGATGAGTTGAAACTTGTGACGTAGAGGTCATTCTTAACTTCTTCTTTATTACAGTTTTTATGTGGAAAATGATTATTTCTTTTTTTTACAGCTCATATTGATACAGTAAGCAAACATTCCTTGACGTTGACATTTCATATTTAGTTGAATTAATAACTTAAGAAGACACATGTGTCAATGTCTTTGGAAAAAAAGACTGAAGAAGTTTAACTTAAATTGCAATAATGTTTTGAAAAGATTAAACGAGTCAATCATCCTTCTCTAAGAAATATGAAAGTTTGAAAGATAAGATAAATGACCATTCAAAAACCTGGGGATACAGATTAGAATTTTTTTAACAAAGATGATACCACAAAATGAGGTGCATATATCACAGAGGGTATTTTTACATGAAGTTTTATCAATTTTTATGAATTAGAAATTATTTTATTGTGAAATATCAGGATCTTTGCTTTATCTTACAATTCAAACATTACTGGACATATGAAATGTTTCCATGATTTTTTAGCAAATTTTGGAAAGTTTTTGTAAGGTACTAATATTGGTAGAAGCAGTGTCCAATACACTGTATAGGTATACCAGGACAAATTTCACACCAAAGATATGAAATGGTGAGATTCTAACCAGGATTCAGAAAATTTATGGCCTATAACTTGACAAAAGCAAGATACTAATTAGGAGCTGCTCTTAACTGGTCAGGTAGCCTAGTGGTTAAAGCCTTCGCTCATCACGCCGGAGACCTGGGTTCGATTCCCGACATGGGTACAATGTGTGAAGCCCATTTCTGGTGTCCCCCGCCGTGATATTGCTTGAACATTGCTAAAAGCGGCATAAAACCAAACCCACTCACTCACTCTCAATTGATCTTGACACTGGGTTGTACAGAGTCAACTCACAGCTTTTTAGCATTTAGATATCTTGTTATGTAAGGTTTATGTTGACAGATATATCATTACTGTACGGTGGAAAGGCTAAGGAGGATATGGATGTGCTTTTGCTGCCTCATGTGTACTCCTATACACGGCAGACCGGATAGTCAGCTTAAGTTCAATTTGTCTTGTTAATTGCAAGAAGATTAATTAGGTTATTAAAATGTGGAAAATATAAATAGGAAATTATTAAAGTTATGCCTTCATGGATGATAGAAATTAATAAGGTTTGATTATATATTAATAAGTTTGGCTGAATAAATGTCAGAAATTTGAAATTAATGAAATAATTGGACATGTCTATCATGTAATGACTTCAGTTGTGTACCTGTTCTTGATTAAGGTGATATCCATCACTTCCTGGAAGCATTGCTACAATATTAATATTAGGTAAATTAATGTCCTTTTAACAGTGAGTGAGCGAGTATGGTTTTACGCCGCTTTTAGCAATATTCCAGCAATATCACGGTGGGGGACACCAGAAATGGGTTTTACTCTTTGTACCCATGTGGGGAATTGAACTTGGTCTTC